GAGAACAAACCATCAAGTGAGTGACATCATACGCCATTCCATCGGTCGAGTGGAACCCTACAGAATGTCAAGTGTGGAGTTTTTGGTCAGTGCGAGAAGGTGAAGTGAAGAGGAGATGAAAGCACGTGGGCAGACGTACCAGGAGTCAGGTGAAAACGTTGGCAGAGAACAGAACGCAGTGGAGACGTGCTTTGAAAAAAAAATTCCAACATTTGTTGTGAACACGAGCAGTAATTTTGCTGGAATTATTACCCATAAGAAAAACTTATCACTGTGTGTAAACCATTGAAATATAAAAACACTTTTTTTTATCCATTCCACAATGCTCATCTTTTTTGCTGAAATTAATATTCTAATGATGGTGTTAATTTTCACCTACTAATATGGCGAATCAGTGTATTCACAAATGAGGATGGGGAAAGAAAGTGGTTTTTACAAGACATCAGACAATGTTTGCGGTGGTTGATATTACTCTGTTGGACTTTATTTATAGACGCTTTATCTAATACAACATGAAATACTGCAGGTGAGAATATTTCTTTTTTGTTAAATTTGCCTGACAATGGTGAGAAACACGAATGTAAACAATTTCTGCTCGACCAATTCTTACTAATGTAACAAAAAAGCGACACGTATACATATGTAATAACTTCAGCAATTAAATGATTGTTTTCCGACATTCAAAGTCAGAAAATAATGTGAATAACAAAAAGTTCAAAACAAGACACATAAGCGAACAATACTGTTTTCAGTTGGATCTTATTCAGGCGTTACTGTTATTTACATAGATTTATATTCAAACATTTAAACCAGTGACGGGGTTTTTTTAGATCAAATAATAATAATGTGTTGAATGTTGTGAACGTCAGTAATAATCATGATTATAATCATAACAAAATAATGATAACCAGGTTTATGCACATGGCGATAACAATAACAAAGTTAGTAGTATGTGTATATGTGGACAATTCAATGAATAAATTAGGTCAGATCTTAAAAGTTACGTAATACGTGATGGGGTGAAGTGGACAGATAATCAGAGTTTAAATAAATGTCATTAAAACACGAAGGAAATGGAAAATAAGAAAGGGTGAGAGAGTTTGAATTCGACTTTACCTAGGCCAAGGGAGAGACAAAGGTAGAAAAAACTACTTTTGTTTCGATAAAGAAAGGAAGACGAAATTCGCAGTATAAAATGATATCATTCTATTTCACAGGTTCTCATCAGCTGCAGACTACTCAAATTACAATGGTTATATATATATATATAGATGATAATAACATACTTTAATGTTTGACTGATAGTGGAGAAGAAATACTATAAAAGTGACGCATCCAAAATGGAAGCATTACAAATTTTAATTTAAGTTTTCATCATCAATTTATACGCTTTCAAAGCTGAAAAGAGGCGGGGGGAGGCGTAAGACAGAAAACAGAAAAAAATAATCAACAGAACAGTGTTAGCTTGTAGCTTGTTCACATAGCAACTCAAAAAACAAAAGTGGTTGCAGTTTATGAGATTAAGATTTGTTCAGTGAGTTGCTATGTGAACAAGCTACAAGCTAACACTGTTCTGTTGATTAATTTTTTCTGTTTTCTGTCTTTTGCCTTCCCCCCGCCTCTTTTCAACTTTGAAAACGTATAAATTGATGATGAAAACTTAAATTAAAATTTGTAATGCTTTCATTTTGGATGCGTCACTTTTATAGTATTTCTTCTCCACTATCAGTCAAACATTAAAGTATGTTATTATCATCTATATATATAACCATTGTAATTTGAGGTAGTCTGCAGCTGATGAGAACCTGTGAAATAGAATGATGATATCATTTTATACTGCAAATTTCGTCTCCCTTTCTTTATCGAAATTTATCAAGGGAACCAAATGTATGAACTTCTTTTGTTGTAAGCAAAGACTATGATTGTTCTCTTGAATTAATTCCCATAGCCTCGACTATATGTTTAGCAGGCGGGTTCGAACTCCGTTCGAAAGGTTCAATGGGATGCGATCGATAATTTTGAAGGCACTTCTTCTGTCCACTTAGTGGTGACTAATATCAATTAAATGAGTCAAAATAGAACTTCTTATGGATTTTATTTGGCTTTTTCCGCACCAGGAAGGAAGATGTTCACTAGTACGTTTGTTGAGCTGTCTAGTTGTTCGCGCTTTCTCCGCTGGAGCAACTAAATTTGTAGATACACAAGGGTAGCTTGTCTTTCGCTTGAATAATCATAAGTGACCGGCTGAAAAATGACGAACATAGGGTTGTGGCAGTATAAGTCCATTTTATTGCTCTGGACAGTCTTAGATGTATGCCACATTTATATCAACACTGAATCATATTTCGTCACTTTTCGTACAGTAGATAAACAGTTCTTCTGGTTATTTGTTTCTACACACTCAGGTAAGGATTATGTGTGGATATAAGTATATGCACTAGACAGTTAGTACAGATATTGATAAGGCTATTATAATAAAGTAAATAAATCTGTAGGTTTTTATTTCATGAAAAATCCCCATTCGAACATTTATAGAGAAAGGACCAGTAGTTCAGCGAAGAGTCTCTTCTCGGCGAATTCATTTTCACGGCTGTACAATGGCAAATATATATTGTTATTCAAGTGTTGGTTTGTAGGGATTTGACTGGTTACAGGATTTTCATCATGAGCTGACATTAGTTAGAGAACCATTGGAAAACCTGGGAGTATTGGACAGCCGTTTCATCCTAGTTTGGGACTCTTTATCAGTACGCACCCACCGGGATTCGAACCCAGGACCTTCTGGTTACAAGGCGAGCTCGTATACCATTAAGCCACTGGGACCCGATCCAATGGCCAGCCCATGAATTCTAACTTCTACCAATTCACGATATAGCGCGACCACTAGCCAATGTCTTCGGCGAGTATTTGTCCTCACGCCCGACCTGCTGCACCCTACTGGTCACGACTTCTCACTAGAACCCCAGGCAACTACCTACCTGAATAGGGCAAGTCACTAGTGAGCATCTGATTGATATTCAAGTGTTGGTTTGTAGGGATTTGATTGGTTACAGGATTTTCATCATGAGCTGACATTAGTTAGTTATATATTGTTACTTTGTACGTGTGTGTGTGCATTAAATTTGTCAAACAAAAATACAGTTGGCTAAGGTTGTTGTAACTAAGGAGGTGAAAATTAGTAAGTTACGTAATGCAAAAAAGCCTTCAGAGGAATTGGATGTTGATACAAGAGGTGATGAGTTGTCACGAACGATTGTTAAACAAGAGTTACGTAACAGCGTGAACAGTTTGTTCTCAGGGTGCACACGGAAACAAAATAAAATGCGGAATTACGTAGGAGTTTCAAAGGAATACAAGGGTTTCGAGTAGTTAGAAAAACAAGCAAACAAGCAAAAATTAAGTCAGATCAACATAGTTGTCACTATGATAGTAGAAGTGGTTGAATAATTCCCTTTTGTATGTATAGTTCTGGTTCTTCTAACTGAATGGCCAGGGCTTCTGCAATTCAAAGAAGACGGAAACGTATTGTCTTTGGCAGATTGTTCTTCACTTTGTAGATTAATTTGAAGGAGGCGTTTGTTGACGAGATGTTCGATTATTCCACTCCTTATACGGCCACTACTTCTTCACAACAGCCACGCTGTATTGTGTTTCTTGCCCCTTTTTGACAGGATACGTGTCGAACGACCGATGTACCTGGCTCTATAGCAACGGGTGAACTGATATATACACATAGAAGTGGTCAGGTGCGAGATCTTGTCCTTCGGGCTTCTGCAGATCAGCGGGCTACTGGAGAACACTACTGTCAGTGTTGCCGGAGTCAAAGTTCTTCTTTTATGAAATGGAAATTATCCTTCTAAGGACATCTCTGAGTTGGTCACCTTTGAATTCGAAGTACACATAAAGTATCTTTTTTGGAATGGATGGCGTCTCTTGCTTTTGGATTTTCTGTTTTGATGTTTTTGTCTATGAATCTTGGTGGATAACCGTTTTGTATGAACATTTCTTTCAGGAAGTGTAGTTCTTCTGTCAAGGTATCAAAGCTGCAGATGCGTTAGACGTGAGTAGGAAAAGGTTCATTTCCAGCTGTAGAAGCTTGTCAGCTGGCGGTTCCACGTGAGTTACCTAAGGATGGACGGATATTCTTGAAAACTAAAGGTCCAAAGCATATAGTGTACTTTCTTTCAATAAATATGTCGACACCAAATTAATTACAATTGGTAGATAAACAGCAGGATTTCAAAGCAGAGATTAAATTCCGTCGCCTGTTAAACTTGCTATACACCAAAATTGTAATCACTAAAAAAGCCAAAAATATCCTCAACTATAATCCTAAATGCTTCACAAGTAATCATATCATATCCCATATTGTATACCACTTATTTGGTAATAGTTTGTGAATTATACAGCCCAATCTGAAAGATCTCAAGTGATTGGAGATAGACATAATACTTTTGATGTTTATTAAACATGAAATCTTTCAAGCTCACTTAGTTTATTCATACCATTAATGTTATTTCTATGTTGTTTTTTTTTTTAAGATTAAAGTAACAAAATGCATGTTATAACTATTCTTTCATTGGTTAATATCACATTTTCGTTGAGCAGAGGTGAAAGTTGGAAAGTAAAATGTCAATTGGATACTTTTCCTCAAACACACTGGCATATATATATATGCATATATATATATATATATACCTTATTTCTGTGTTTATTTGCAATGCCGCTGTAAAACCAAAGGTGGTAAATAATTCAAAACTTGTTGATTAAATAAATGACTCTACACTAACTAACATTCAACAACATTTACGGACCATTATATAAACTCTTAACATACGAAATTTTCAAGTGAAAAATAACCAACTTATGAATATGCACAAATTTTTACTTCAAACCACTGAACTTGGTTTGAACAAGTGAGTCTTGAGTTCATCGGATAACCAAAAACTGAGTTCTGAACGCCACTGAATGTTAGTCAAGATAAGATTTAATCTGCACGGTTAAAAATGATGGTGAATTTATCAGCGTCTACATCCATTAATATATCCAGTTCTTTTGAAGGGTCAAATTTATCAGCACAACAAGAGAATAAGACTGGTGTTTTATCAAAAGATGAACATACTGCTGAGAATCTGCTCTGGGGGACAATGGTTACAAATATCATTACAAGTTTCTTAGCTTTAATTACTGCAGGAATATTCATTGGTAATTTGTTGGTTATTCTAGCTGTTGCTACAACCAGCAAGCTAAGACGAATTACTGACCAGTATCTTTTGTCACTTGCTATAGCTGACTTTTTAGTATCTGTATTTGTTCTTCCCTTCGCTGTTGTACGTCATCATTTAGGCTATTGGCCATTTGAATCAGCGATTCTATGCTATTTTTACATTTCTATAGATACACAGTGTTGTATGGCATCGATATTTAACTTGTGTTGTATATCGTTAGATCGTTATGTTGCTATTAGTCATCCAATTAAATATATCACTAAACGAAATCGTTCAACAGCGCTGGCTATGATAGTTATCGCGTGGATATTGCCTCTACCGGCTATTGTGCCACCTTTAATTGGATCATATGAACATACTTCTGGGATTGGTAATTGTTATTTAAGTTATGATAAGAAGTATAGAATCTATTCATCCGTACTTGGTTTCTTTGTCCCACTGTCTCTGTTGGCGTTTGTCAATGTTAGAATATTTTGCATTATAAACAATCGAATGAAAGCATTTGAAAATGTTAAAATTCATAAGTTGAAGCATAAAATCTCAAAATCGGACAATGCTTACGTGTCCACTTCATCTATCTGTACACCTTCGTACCGAACAGAGCTTAAAACGAAATGGAATAAATGGCGTGATTCACAAAAGGGTTTTTCAAATAAAACCATGGGTTCATCTTTATTTTCGCTTACAAGTGGATGGGCGGGTAAACTTCCTCAAAGTTTGCCTGGAAGTATTAAAAAGCTCAGATCTCCTATCGATAAACAGCAACCAGTTAAATCTCATATATCATCAGAAGCCTCCTCCGCCTGTGTTGGTGGTGGTGGTGGTCCTATGCATTCAGAAGACAATTTGAAGGAAAGTAGAACCTGTTCAAATCAGTCTAGCATACACAAAATACAAACGTCTAAAGCAGCAAACTCAGATATTATTATATCACCTAATCCTAGTTCAGATAACATTGTTTACACATCGCAAAATGATTATATATCGCAGACATCAACTGATGATGGCAATGATGATGATGCGAATGCTCCTGAAATTCCGCAGTCAACAAATAAAGTTGAATTCTCTACAGTCAAGTTGCATAAACTACACCAAAACTCAGTTATTCCAGCTGATCAAGTGAAAAAGCTTTCCAGCATATCCTACTCTAAAGAATCCGGAAAAAACAATCCTCGTCACATAAATACGGTGGTAGTAAAGAAGCACTCGCCTAAATCATTCCAACGTCATGAACGTGCATTACTCAAAAAAGAGAAGAAGACTAGTCGAACTGTTGCAGCAATTGTAGGTTGTTATACCCTTTGTTGGTTACCATTTTTTACATTTTTTCTAGGCGAAGCAATTTTCGACTGTACATTTTCCGAAGGCTTATATTCATTTGTTTGTTGGTTGGGCTACAGTAATAGCATATGCAATCCACTAATTTATACATTTTTTAACAAGGAATATGCATGTGCTTTTAAACGTCTTTTATGTATAGATAAATGTTCACGTTTGATTAGAGATGGTAGTTTTTAGAGGATACTTTGATCATCATCACCATCATCAACATCAACGTCACCGCCATCCTCATGAATGTCTTTACTTTTAATGAGTAGTGTTTGTTATTAGAACCGCCTCTTTCAGTGAGCTGTTGTTATTATTATTGGTTATTGATTTGTTAAGATTGTCAAAAATATTTTCTATTTGAAAATGAATTCCTTCCTCGATTGTCAAATGTTTATACTTGTTTTTTTTTGCATTTGATATCATTTTATGCTGCCATATTAGATAATGACTTTCAGACTGCAACCCATAAAAAGAAACACATCAAATAGTGAAATGAATATATTAGTTGTGTTTTTTTTTAATACTTAACTGTTATTAGCTCCCAGTCAATATGTACACAGTTTTTAATTCTGTCATAATAATTGTGAAATTCAACTTGGTTGTTATGTTTATTGTAACTTGGGAACTCACGACTGCGTTATACAGAAATGTCTACAGTCTATGAATTATAGCTATAATTCAACAAAAGTTTTGTACATACCAGGACAGACAAAGTTTGAACGTCAAGTTTCGTGTTTCCGCTTTGTATGCAAAATACATAAGCAGTTTTTCATTAACTTATATGCTCTCTGTTTTAGGGTAGATACCGCAAAATTTAAACGTTTGAAGTGTACTAATAGTACTAGTATACTAACAGTTCTAGTGGGAAGCCGTAACCAGTAGGGTACAGCAGGTTGAAGATGAGGTAGTAACTCATCGAAGAAGAAAGACATTGCGAAATGGTCGCGCTATGTCGTGAATTGGCAGAAGTTGGAATTTATGGACTGGTTATTGGATCGGGCCCCAGTGGCTCAGTGGTCTACGAGCTCATTAGCCTTGTAACCAGAAGGTCCTGGATTCGAACCCTGGCGGTGTGTGCGTACTCCTGAGGAGTCCCGAACTAGGCTGACAAAACAGTTGTCCGGTACTCCCAGTTGGTTTTCCAGTGGTTCTTTAACTGATGTCAGCTCATGATAAAAAACATAGTTTAAAATATACTAATAGCCTTGGAGAGTACACAGAGTCGCTTACTTATACCTAATTGTATTAAACTGTATGAGAGAAAACTATAAAGTATATTTAATAATTCCACTGGTAAGCAGTTACCGCAAGTATGTCTTTAATATACTTTACTGCTAACCAGAGTATAAACCATAGTCTCCAGAAATATAATTATCCACATTGTTATCTTCGAAAGGCATCAGTTGATTAAAGGAAAAGGGCAGGAAAGGTAGGGAAATATTTTGAGATACTTAAGGACTATACTGACATCTCAAAATATCATTTTTCGAAAGTGATGGTGAGTTTTATCACGAAATAGTCAATCTGTTGGGGTGAAAATAGATATAAATAATAAGCTTAACCAAGAATATTAGGGTGGGATTAAATTCAGTATGAGTGTGTCGGTGGCACAGCGGTAGAATGCTCGCCAGCCACGCATGTGGTCAGAGGTTCGATCGCCGGCCACTGACGCACTCCTTTACATCGCCAAACCAGTAATAAGACTCGTAAACTGGGAAAGTTGGGCATGAGGCTAGCAACTTCATCCTGTAAGGCGGCCTGCTTAAAACTTGGGCTACCGAAATTTTCCGTCACTTATATTGCATCTGATTACTTGGGTTTATTTTGTTTTAATTATTCAATTATGTGTCCAAATCGTATTACTTACTCTCGCGATTATTTAAAATGTTTTCAACCTGATGATCTACGAGTATATAATAACATTAAGAAAAAGCATCATGGTGGGTGGCAAAGATCCTTAAAGTGTACTCCAATGCATCAGATGACTGTTCCTGTGATTATGAGCACAAATTGCAGGTCATTATCGAACAAGATTAATTACTTGGATGCTCTATTATGTTCAAATATTTACCGTAATACAGGTGTAATAACGCTTCAAGAAACTTGGCTACACGACTCATATGATGATAATTTAATCTTACTAAATGGTTTCAATATGTACAGACAAGACCGAAGTAGTTCAAGGAAGAAGCGAGGTGGTGGTGTTGCTACTTTTATCAATTTTCAGTGGTCTGTTGCCAACAACGTCTGTTTCAAATTCTCAAATGATAATATTGACTGTATAACTGTCAAATGTCGACCTAAACACCTATCTAAATACAAATTCATTTATATCACAAACATTTATGTCACACCTTGTTGTAGTACTTCAGAATTATCTATGTTTGCTGATGAATTCACTATTTTCGCTGCCACCTCTTTTGGTAACTCCCTGTCCATAGTGACAGGTGATTTTAATTCATGTGACTGCAGCTTTCTCACAGTGATAGGTCATGAAAATGTTGTTAACTTTCCCACCAGACTGGATAATTCTCTTGATCTTGTATTTATAAATGACTGCGGAATATACGAAGCTCGTAAAAGAGCTCCACTGTTTAACTCAGATCATTGTATTGTACGGGTTTTACCTAAAATTTATGGAAAGTTACATAAGAGAACTTTTTCACACCTTTCCAAGAAAACTGTACATGGATGTTACTCTATGGAGAATGTTCAGAATCTCAGAGGCATGCTCAAAGACACAAGGTGGGACCTGTTTAATGAAGACTCTCTTGATGACAATCTCTAATATTACAAGTTATCTCAAATTTTGTCTTGACACCTGTTGTCCCAGAGAAACGCTCTTCATCAGATTTGACCGTTTCTCCTCCCCTCAACTTAAAAAGCTTCGCAGACAAAAAGAAAAGTTATATAAGATGGAGGATAATACTGGTTTGAAAAGAATTAACATCCTAATCAAGTCTGAAATGCACAGATTGAATTCAATTTACAACCAAAAGTTTATATCCTGTAAAAATGCGTCTAATATATGGAAACTTTTCAAAGAAATTACTGGTGGTAAGCAGATGAACAGTATTCCTTATTCCCTTGATGTTTGCACACTAAACAAGTCCTTCATACATTCCCCCACAAATGACAAACTTTCTAGTGTTACAAGTGTTAATGAAACCTGCTTCCCTGGTTTTACTACAAATGATGTTCTAAAATGTCTCCATTCTCTGAACCCTTCTTGTAGCCTGGGTCCAGATGGTTTGCCTAGCGTCATTCTTAAAAAGTGTGCGGATATCCTGTTTTATACTCTCATGAACATCTTTAATGAATCTTTTTCCAGAAATGTCGTTCCGGCCGTTTGGAAGGACATTGAAATTGTACCTATACCTAAGTCATCTACTGGAACATGTATTAAACTTAGAACTATTGTTGTTACCTCCCATTTTCTAAAAGCTATGGAAAATTTGCTCTTAATTAATCTTCAACCTTCACTTAAAGCCTTTAATGGTCCCAAACAATTCGCCTAAAAACACAGTAGAAGTACTTTAGATGCAGCTGCAGTCTTGTATCATAACATTGTCTCCAGCTTAGACAAGGGAGCTAAATTTTTTCGCTGCACCTTCCTAGATTACACATCTGCTTTCGACTCAGTACCTAGGGACATTTTGTTAAACAAGCTTGCTGAAACTCAAACTGACTGTTGGGTTGTCAAATGGCTGCATTCTTATTTCTCAGGAAGAAAGCAGTACAATGTATGTCAGGGAAAGTCGTCCACTTCGTTGCTTACTGAGGCTGGTGTCCCTCAAGGCGCTGTCCTTTCTCCTTTTCTGTTTCCTTTCTTCTTGCATGACTTGCCTCACTCTGATGATAAAATGAACTTTGTTAAGTATGCCGATGATCTAACTATTTCAATGTCTGTTAACTTCCAGCTTGACTGTACTAAGATGAACAGCTTTCTATCAGGAATTAGCAAATGGTCTTCGTCTAATGGTCTTAAACTTAATCCTTCCAAATGTCAGACTGTTAATTTCAGTTTCCGATGTAAACGAAAGTTAAATGAAGCCGTTGGTTCCTATGGCCCTTGCAAAATCGATGATACTGATATAGAAATCAAGTCTGAAGTTAGGCATCTTGGATTAATTCTCTCTTCTGACCTATCCTGGTCTTCCCATGTCTTAGCGATTTCTAAAAGAATATTTCGTCTGGATTTTTACATTAAGAAGTTGAGGCACCAGGCATAACACAACCAACCCCTTCTCTTACAGTTTGTCAACTCGTGCATCTTACCTATTCTTCTTTACTGTTCACCCTTATATTCTCCTGGATTGCTTAAAAAAGACTATGTCACACTTCGTAGAACTCTGAAGACTGTCAGTAGGACGAGTGGTATCCCATTGGGCCATATCGTTGACATCGTCATTGATAGGCACTTGATTTCAGGCAACAAATTCGCTAAAGGAATTTTGTCAGACTGTGAGCATCCCCAACTGTACCCGGAGCTCTAACCTTGTGTCTCCTCAGGTAAAACAAGAAGTCTTTTCAGAAGAATTTATGCACGTACGTCTAAGTATAAAAATTCCACTATACCATATTTAGTGGCACGTATTTTATGTGATGAAAATAGTGTCAGGCATGAACTAACTAACCTTCTTTGCACTACTGAATAAACCATTTTCTCCACCCTTATAACATCAAGCTTTATTGTTCTTCTTATATTTATAATCCTCTCAATTTTTTGTTTTTAATTGTTTATTTTTTCATAAGTGTGAACATAATTTAAGCTGTATTATAACTGTTAATTTTGTATTTCCCCTCACTGTACTATATCACAGAACATAGATCAATAATTATAACATGCTAAATTTCCAATGAATCGACAATACTGTTTGAAACAAACTCACTGTTATTATTATTATATTTAATAATCTCAATTCGTGCTTCGAATATTTTTGACTTTATGTCGTAAATGTGGACAAATTCCTCCGATTAATTTTGTTTTAATTTTTAATTTTACTTATATTTTGAGTAAATCAGATGCAATATTGTGACAAATGCTGAGAATTCCATTCTGTATTATAAGTACTGTTTTTGGAATAAAGTAGATTATTATTATTATTATTAAAAATAATTACCACTGCTACCGAAACTTCAAGCCTCTAGCTTGAAGCCCTATGTTCCACTGGGAACGTAAAGGATTAAAAAAACATTCAGCATGTGAAATAACTACTATTATTGTTCATAATTCTAATTAGCCGGATTTTTTTACAATATAATATGACTTTCTATCTTATAAATTATGTAAATAAAGACAAAAGCTGGTCAACTAGGTGGAGAAGGAAGTTTAAAGCAAGAAAATTTTGAGCTAACTGATGGCTGTATTTTCGTATCAGAAAATAATGCAAAATATCTTTAATTAAAGCATAAAAACAAATATTTGATTTCTTGCGTGTTGTCAACATCTGATCATTAATGAACTCGACATGGCAGTAAATGAAAATAATTAATTAGTTTTATTTTTTATGTTTTTCCCTGTCTAACCAGAGGTGCTTATCCTAGAAGAAGCTGGGAAAAAATCTCGCCTGAAAAACTCCGAAGCCACCTTCATTCTAAGAAATGCAGAAAAAAGTACAGTGGAATATTCTTAACTCTGTTTCTTTTTGTACTTTTTATTCAGTATAACCCTATGAAATGAATTTTCTGTCTGCATCATTCTCGCTCCTGACTATACAATACATGTCCACTTTGTTCTTTTGGGCCCATGACTACCCATAATCTCTTATCTCCTACTCACACGATCTCCAACCACCATTGCACCCTTTGACGACCCACTCGTCGTTTCGAGTTCGGGTTCCACTCGAGTGCCAGGCGCGCAGTATCATTCAATGGTCTCCTCAGCATGTTCCCAGTTCATCTCTACTTTCTCCGACATATGTGTTGAGCGATAGGTTCTTAGTTAGTTTGTTGTCATATATATACATATTAGGAGGCTCGTGGATCCCAATGATTAGAGAGAAGTGTTTTCAACAGTTTGTTCATTCCATACATTTTTGCTGTATGGCTGTACGTCGGTGGCACAGAGGTGAAGTGCTCGCCGACCACGCATGTGGTCCAGAGTTCGAACCCCGGCCACTGACGCACTCCTTTACCTCGCTCGCTAAGCCTGTAGAAAGATTGGTAAAGAGGGAATGTTGGGCATGAAGCTAGCAACTCCATCCTGTAAAAATAATCACCACTGCTACCGAAACTTCAAGCCTCTAGCTTGAAGCCACCGTATGTTCCACTGGGAACGTAAAGGATTAAAAAACATTCAGCATGTGAAATAACTACTAATGTGTGTCACACGATATTATTTCAGTTGTCTAAACAAGTGTTAAAGTTCTTCAACAGTCAAGAAGGTGTCTGATTAATGCCAGAACTTCAGCATATAGACAGAAACCACTTTTTTAGATCCATTCTCACACCCAATACGATGTATTTTCAATAGTGATAGGGCCTTGTTAAATTCTATAACATTTTTGCATGTCATTGAGAGTTTCAACAGTGTTTAACTAGTCATCAAAGAGCATCTCACACAAAGTTACTGCAAAGTATCCGGTGCTAAAAGATTGCAGTTTTTCAGCTAATTTTTTTTGTTCTATCCAGTATAGAGTTATGCGGGACTAAATATACGCAAAAATGTTGCTACCAGAGAAGTTTCACCTCTGCTTTACTGACAAATATTGACAAGCATGACTCCTGCCCATGCGTATATTCTGTTAATATATCAGTGACAAACGAAGGGATTTTCTCTTCTAAGAAACTGATAAATAGATACATGAGATAGTCAAACATCTGGTACACCTTTGTAACTTTTTATTCACTTATTTTTTCCACCACTTTGGTAGTAACCATAGTAAACATTCAAAAAGTCCAAATTCGTCAAATGAATCATCTTTACATAGATTCGTTGCATATTTCTGCTTTCCGTAGCAGTGAAATAGCTTCCTTATTAACATAATTTTGCATTTTCTAAAAATAGGAACAGTTTTCAAAAACCGGGGGTTTTTACGCTGAATTCAACTCATAACAGAATAATCAATTTATTTTTTTTGTTTTGTTTAATCGTATCCCAAGGGATTTATAATGGTGACTTTGTTTTTGTCATAAATGATTTTAGACTACTTACTATTTTAGCGGAGACTTTGAAATCTCAACCAAATTGATCTATATCATTTAAATGTTCAAAAATTAGTTTTCACAGAGATATCTAAAGCGATAATCAGATGTTTTCATCAATGGACATACTAC